CAGCAGCATGCAAGCCTCTACTTGCAAAAGGGCTATGGGTGAGCATGAGGTTCATTGGCTGTAAACCAGTCCCAGGTGTAGCCACATGGAAGATGAACCACTGCTACTAATCCTTGCTGCCACATTCACTACTTCTTTCCCTGGCATTTTGGAGAATGCTAGAACTCCTTTGGGGACTTCTTTTCTGTCTTCATTTTTTCCTTCAGAGATCTCATCCAGTTGGCTTTACACTATCCAGAAGCTGATGAACACAAAATAGGAGGCTTCAGACCAGACTTCTCTCCTGAACTCAAACTCCTGTATGTAGATGACACATTCCCTGCAACAGTGGGCTTGAACTTGCTAGAGATTGTGAGGATGGTGCAGGATGACAGTTTTGATCTGTTGTTCATAGAGTCACTGTGAATTGTAGTTAACTCTATGACACCTGAGAACATTACTTACGTGTTTACAATCTGCTTTCCTGCCAGCATGTGAACAATTAGTAGGAGATTTTTGTCTAATTTGTTCACTTCTCTATCCTCAATACTAAGAACAATTCTTGATAAATGTTTTTGATAGTTGCTGTTGAGTTGATTTTCATTCCCTTTTGAACTATTCCTCACTTGCATAGAACTCATGGTTCATAGTAAAGTCAACATTTGTGAGATGAATTAGTTATTTCACTGCCTATCAGTATACTCAGGTTTCCTAGAGGCAGGATAATTATCTTTGTAATAAATGTGATCCTGTACATTTAAGAACAGATTCTTAGTTCAACTAATGTACTTAAGGCAGCCAATGCCTTTAATTATTTTTCTATTTTTAATCTAAATAATTGATGTCCCCAATTAAAATATACCATCTGTCTCCAAAGAAGGTGGTCAATTGCCTTTTCTTTTTAAAAAAAGTTTCACTCAACCAAGAAAAGAAAAAAGATTATAATAACATTGCTGTTATATATAACATATATATAACATGTGTTGGGGGAAAGGCCAGTTGTTAATGAAACAGTGTTTGACTCCAAGTTAAAAAAAAATATGGAGGAAATTCCCTCCAGAAGCTCTGCTGGGGCAATCTCCTCCTGTAGCAGTCAGATCCAAGTTGACAGTATACACACACACACACACATAATAAAATGAATTTTTTTTAAAAGATGAAGGAAATTAAACCATAGGAGGTACTACAAACATTCATTTATTCCTTAATTCACTCCTAACATTTCTCCTTTCCAGAGAAAAGTTGAATAAACAGATAAAACTGAGAGGGAAGAAAAATCAACAGATGTGTTACTTTATTTGTATGCTTTCTAAAATACACTAAACAAATGTGGGATAAATAAAATCCTTCTGATATGTTATTAAATAAAGACCACTTTTGAGTTATCTAGTATGCTTGGGAAATTCCAGGAAATCCTTCCTCCTAAAATGATACATTTAAATATTTTTTTTTTACTTCAAAATAGCATTTTTATTATCTAAAAATGTAAAAATCCAGCAAAACCAGAAATACGGATATATTTTCCTGGGATTTCACATTTGTTGATTTTTATTCATAATCTGTTTTTTAATACAATTTACATCCTCATACCCATTCCCATCTTGATTATACAGATGCTAGTGGCAGAAAGGCCTGGAATAAATACATCCAAGGAAGAGGATAAGAGGCAAAGCTGTGAAGCTACATGCATGCACAGGTTCTAAGGGGGAGAGGGGAGAAAGTGTCTTGGGAATAAACTGAAGGTAATTAGAGGGTTTCAGCTAAAGTTTGTTCAGTCATCCTTGTCTTTTGCTCCGTGTTTCAGGATGCGTGTGAACTCGATGTAATTGAAATTCCCCTTTTTGTCAATCGGAGCTTCTCTGTAGAGCTCGTCCACTTGCTCGTCTGTAAAGACAGACCCCATGGTGGTCAGCAGCTCTCTCAGGTAGTCTTCCTGAATGGTGTCTGTTGCTTCTTCATCAAAGCAGGCAAAAGCATTTCTGATGACATCCTCTGGATCTGTCCCATTGAGCTTCTCCCCAAACATCGTGAGGAACATGGTGAAGTTGATGGGCCCTGGAGCCTCATTCATCATGGCTTCCAGGTAGGCATCCATCGGGTTCTTCCCTAGAGAGGCCAGCATATCATGCAAGTCTTCCTTGTTGATGAAGCCATCTCTGTTCTGGTCAATCATGTTGAAGGCCTCTTTGAACTCCTGAATCTGGGACTGATCAAACATGGCAAACACATTGGATGTTGCGCGCTGAGGGCGCTTCTTGGTGGTCTTGGTCTTGGCCTTTTTGCTCGACATGGTGGCTGTTTAATTCGTCAGACGCTGGGACAGGGCTGCGCTGCGCGAGGCGAGGAGGACACGACGACGACCGGCGGCACTTCCGCCGCCTTTCACATTTAAATATTTTATAGGAAAAATTCTACCTTATTTTTCAAGTTGGTATTGAGGTCAAAGACAGAGAAGTTTTTGGCTCAAAATTCTTTGCACTTAGGAAAAGAAGCCCTCGTGTTCTGGTAGCAGACCAGCAGGGGAGGGGTCCAAGATCACCACTGATTGGAACAGACCTTACTGGGTGAACACGCTGAGCAGGAGAATCAGTCACCTGAGTGATGCGGCAGGGACAAGATGAAAAAGACTCCATGTGAAGATGCAAATAAATTGGTGGTGGTGATGCCCACTACTGAGGCAGTTGTAAAAAACTCATTGCTGCTGAGTTAGAACGAATTCACAACTGACCCTCTGGCCAATTTTCAGAGGCTGTAAATCACAGGGGAGGAGATTGCCCATCTGTCTCTCACGGAGCAGCCAGTGGATTCGAACACTGAGAGAGACTCTGCCTTTGGGTGAGCAGCGCGATACAGCATGGACTATGCCACCAGAGGTCCCTGCAGTATAACTTTGTAGAAGAAATTTCCGCATTAGCAACAGTGATAACTTTTGTCAGAGTACAAAGAAAAATGATTCATTGAATAGCAGTCAGAAATGCAGAAAAGCCATTAGAGACACAAAGACACGTTGATGGAAACATCATTCAAATGACACACATTGATTTACATATAATTTACTTTTATAGAGCATATGGTATGCAAAAGATCAACTGTACTATATACTTTTGTATCGTATTCTTTGTCCAGTCCTTGTCCAGCATAGAAGAGTATGACTAGTAGCTGATGGAGTTGTCGTTGTTGAATGTTGTGGAGCTGGAACCAAATCATAGCTGACCCTCTTGTGGGTTTTTGATGCAGTAAATCACACAGGTGACTGCTCATCTGGCTCCCAGAGAGCAGCTGGTGGATTCGAACTGTAAGCCTTTGTAATTGCAGCATAGCCTCTTGCCACTAAGCTACCAGGGCTCCCCAGTAGCTGACAGTCTTGCAAAGGTCTGGCAGTTATCTCTGTAGCTTCAGAAAGGAAATTATTTCACTAAGGAACATTTAAGAAAACATACATAGGTATATCCCAGATACCACCCACATACACACACAACATACACTTTAGTGCCTCCCCACAGGAAAATGTACAAGCTCCAAACAGTGACCCTTACATCCAGATACTGAAATGAGAGTTTTGACTCAAGAGGACTAAATGCAGAGTAGTTAGACATCATGGAGTGCCCTTCTCCCTCAGTACTGGAGTCAGAGAGCCAGCCATTCAGTAGATTTTCAGAGAGGGACAGCATACTTGGGAGGGGAAAGGGACAGCACAAGAGAGGAAGACCCCCAATGAGATGGATTGATGCAATGACTGGGGTAATGGGGGTAGGTGTGTTAGAGACAATAAGGTTGGCACAGAATAGAGCAGGGTTTAGGGCTGTTGTACATAGGGTCACTATGAGTCACAAGCAAGTCATTGGCACACAACAACAACAACATAAATCACACAAGAGGAGATTGCTTATCTTTCTCCCTTGGAGCAGCAAGTGGATTTGAGCTGCCTGCCTTTGGGTTGGCAGCACAATTTCTTACTTATTAGGCCATTAGAACTGCTTAGGATTTTAGCTAGTCAATCCCAACTTACTCTTCTTTCCCAGTATGATTATTAATAGTGCAACTTTTCTCTCAGCCACCCAGCCACTAATATGTATTTTAGTATAGATGATAAGTTACTTTTATTATCCTTACCTGAGTGGATATTTTCTTTGCTCTGGAAATTCAAGCGTTAGCTATGAAGTGGGCAAAACCAGAGCCATAATTTTCCTGTAACTGACAGCACCTAACAACAAGAAACTATGAATGGCCAAATAGATTATGACGCTCTGTCATTTCTCTTACACACAACAAAAGAAGAAGAAAAAAACAAGCATGAATCCAGCAATATGTAGAAAGAAAGAGACATGAGGAGGGCTCTCAATAATTAAAACATCCACACCTATCTCTCTTCTTCTGCATTTACTATTCAGACAGCCAGGCCAATCCCATTTCTGAATAACACCAATTCTCTCACCACTCATCAGGGATTTTAAATGTCACTGATAGTTATGAGAAAAATGTCTCACACACGCTCTTCTCTGTTATTTTAACATTTATTTATTTAGCTTAAGCTTGACTTGTTAGACAAGAAGCAGAGGTAGGACTTTGAATCTGGAGTTTTTTGGTTTTAATTAATAGTACAAAAAGGCAGGCCCTGTTTTCATCAGGGTTGTCTTTTGAGAGTCTCCTTCCTTTGGGAAGCACCCTCTTTTCCTTCACAAAGTTCAGCACTATTAGGAATGACTTCCCTGTAGAGTGCAACTCCCAATACCAAGCATTCGTCCAAAATCCAGGGCCCCCTGCCACACTTCCCTCCCTTACTCCCACACACAACAGGGCTTCCTATAAGTCACTTTGTGAGGAAGTTAGTGGAGAAGTTATAGGATATAGGGTTAGAGAACAATGAGAAGACCTACTTACTCATATTCTGCTAGTGTTCCCTTTACCCTTGGGGATGCCATAGATGTCAGTGCCTGGTCTCATCCCCACATTGCCCCAGCTCTGAGCACATTTGCTTATGCTTCTGACCTACAGATGGAACATGCTTTTTGTAGTGTGTCTCAGAGTTCAGTACCATAAATGGCCTTGTGGCGTAAGTACTCTTCTAAGCACTGGAGAGCATAATCATCCACTTTTGGGTCAAACTTGTTGGCAAATAGGTGATGGTGCTGCAGCATCCAGTGCAGGTCTCCAGCCCCATAAATGCAGACAGCCCGCTGGTGGGTTCCAGTGCAAGGTGGATAAGGTGCCCCCTTGTTCACGTCGCCCTCATGGTTCTCCCACTTCACCAATCTAGCAATGGCAGCCACGTCCGAGAAGTCATACTTAGTGTGGAAGGGGACAGAGCCAGGCATCCATGGTGCACGGTGAAGCGTGGCCCAGAGGTGTTCGTCAGGGCTGTAGGTGTCTTTGACCCACTCAATCAGTTGCTGGGCTTTAGGGTTCTGTAAGACTTGTTGGATGAAACTTCGTGAAGCCACAATATAGGCACTCCCTGTGAACATGGGTATATTATCAGGAGGAGGACCTTTCTCTTGGTTTGTCATACGCAATGTGTCTGTTACCACATAGCGATATTTCCAGCGATTTCTTTTAGGCGCAGAAGGTATCTCTGATTCCATGTTATTCTTCCCATTTAACATCTTGAGGGCTTGTACCATCTCAGCATTGGTCTTTATAGGAAAGTCCGTCCCACATGTATTCAGTAAGTATTTCCATGGCACTTTGCTCTGGAGCAAGTCTTCCATGCAGTTCAGGTCAGCCTGCACTCTGGACCAAGATGCATAGACCACCTTAACGAGTTTACTGGCCATGAAGACGTTTGGGAAGCATGAAATAATCGCCTTGACTGCCTCTTTGAAAGTTAGTGGAGACTTCTCATCCACGTGGATGCAATATATGTTCTGTGGGGCATACACAGTTCGCAGCAGCCTTTCAAAATTTTCAATCTTCTCATGGACCACAATAGAGTATGCGATGGGAAAGTCTAGTTCTTCTTTGCTCAGCGGAAACTCTATGAACTTCCTGTTGGCCTTAAAGTGCTCACAGTTTCTGGTCAGGTTGAGGTAGTCAATGTCCATCAAAGGTGTTCGCTTGTTTTTGATCTCCAGGTTGCTTAGAAGAGCCTGAGTCACTGCCTCCTCATCTCCCCGGGTGATCGCAGAACAGTTGATGGAGCTCTCTGCAGGTAGCTTCAGGGACTTGTACAAGGCATTTCTACAGCGCCTGCTTTGCAAGCCCTTGGAGCCCAGATCCAGGTTTTGAAAGTCACACTTGAACCGTTGTTGAGAAAGCTTCACTGCAATAAGAGTCAGCACCATATAGAAGACCAGGACCCACAGGCAGAATTTCTTCTTCCACCAAGACATTTTCATGGAACGGAGACCAGGTAGAGTTTAGGCACGGGGAAGGAGGAAGAGGGCAGGATCCTTGGACAGAACAAAATGCCTTCAGTTACAAATTAAGCCTAAACATATTCCAAGCAACACCAAGTTCAATTTCAAACAGACGACAGAAGTGTAAGGAAATTCTTCCCTGGACAAATATCCTTAGTACAGACCTGCATAGGAGTCTAGCTGACAGCTGTGGTCAGGTCCCACCCCTACTATCCAGGAGAAAGGGAAGCAGGATGAACACCTGCTGAGGTAGAGGAGTAATCAGTAAAAGGAAGTTCCCATCAGCCTGTTTGTACTGCACAGCTCTTATCTTCACCCTAGAATTTCTGGTGCATCTAGAGAGATAATTCATGAAATATAGACATTCATTGTCAGTTCTAAGAAATATATAGGCTCCCCTTTGATTTCTAATATGATTATTTATTAAATATTTTACACTGGTTATGGCTTCATTAACCTCTGATCAAGCAAGAATTTTACTATTCTTTTTAGCCAGTCTTAGTTTTGTTTTTTAAAAAATGTAAATTATATTTAATTTTTTTTAATTATGAAAGTCAAAAGGCTATAATTCAGGTTGGCAGCACTGTACAATTGCTCTGTCAGGACAGCTTGCCAAGTGTGCTCACATGCATCTCAAGCCTTCAGCCTCATGGCGTAAGGCCAATGATAGAAAGCTTAGTCCCACCAAGAATTTCATCTTCCTCCAGTCCTCAAGCAAAATTGGGCAAGGCTCTTAATAGGTCCGTTTTAAAAGGAAAATCACATCCCTGCCCTTGTTTGGCAATTTATATTATATTATATAGAGTGCTTATCATTGCATGTAATGTCTTGGCCAGATGTGGTGTCCTCTTAAAAGAATGTTCTTAAAGAAGGAGAAAAAAATTGATGAAATTTCCAAATGCATTTTAATCATTCATAGAAGGATATTTAATGGCACAAGCACTGGTCACTCATCTGAGAATTCAAAATTTCCAGATTAAAACCCTACGGTCTGCTTCCACAAAGGTACTGCCCAGAAACCCTACAAAGAAGTTCTGCTCTCTCATAAGTGGCTCTTTGGGAGTTGAAATTAATTTAATGGCACCCAACAACAACAATTATTCTTGTAATATTAATTTATTTAAGTTTATTCAAGTTTAAAATACTTCTTCACCTGGGGACACAGCTGTGCACAGACAATATTTAATGAGAGCCATCCATGTGCCAGAAATATTTCTTTACAGTGTCTCATTTAATAATACTGAATGGTAGTCTTATTAGACTTCTTTTGTAGATAGAAAAAAAAAGATGTTAAATAACTTACCAAGAATGATACATATTATACAAAGCAGTTCTGGACTCCTTCCCACTTCTCTTTTTCTATAGAATTTTTCCCCCTCAAATCTAATATTTGTTCCACCAAACCACAATTACCTTCCAAATAGAATTTAAAGTTCTGAAAGCCAGCAAAAGAAAATTGGAGGTATGTGTACATATACTACCTATACAATTTATATATACAAATATATATATTTATATATTTGGATAGTATATGTATAGAAAGAGCCATCAGTTTGGAATTACATATATAATTCCTAAAAGGAGATAATTAAAAAGAGACACACATTTCTAGCAACATTCCATCCCCCTTATTTTATCCTCTTTCTAGGTTCTGTATGAAATTGTATCCTGTTTGTCAATAAATTTTAAGAGAGAGGAAATGAAAAATGAAGATTTTTTTTTCACCTTTAATAGCCTCTTTCCTGGTTAGGGAAGAACTCCTGTCAGAGCGTGAATCTCTTTCCAAATGAAGACTGGCTAGATTCTACAGCAGCAAAGATGTTCACCATTTCTCCAGCTCTTCTTCTAACTCCTCCAACATACATTCTCCAGTGATCATATGGCATTCAGGCAACTATCTTGGATTCCTTCTCCTTGATTCTGTGTAAAAAGAGAGTAGCAGGTCGCTTTATCTCTACTTTTCTGCTCTCAGATAAGAGCACACTCCGATTAGTGATTCAGAAGCATAGTCCTTCAGGTAGGTAGGTGAGGCAGAGGAAGAATAAATTGCTGGCGATATCTGAGAAGGAAAGCAGGTCTTTCAGTCTGAACAGCCCAGTTTACGTCGATGAGTCCCTGCCCCCAAACCACTCATATAAGCCAGTCAAAGTTTTACAGGAGAATAAAAGTCTTGTTCTCCTCCTCAACAAGGAAGCACAGTCACACTCCATATGAGTTCCGTGTCATTCCTTGTCCCTGCCTTCCTGTCACTCAATTCCACGGGTCATTCTTCTTATCTTACTTGAAACAGGGGCAGTAAAATTCCCTCCACAGATTTCTTTCCCTCCCCTCTTTTTTAAAAAAAGTCAATAGAATAACCAGAGTTCTTTCATCAAATGATTCTGATAACAACAGTGAAGGTGAGAGGGGATCAGGAATCTATTCCTCTGGTCTTAAATGAATGTTAGTTAATAGTCTGTAATTTTTACTGTCCGGTGCCATCTAATTGCCTATGACTCATAGCAACCATACGAACAATAGATTTGAACCAAGCTCTGTCCTGGATCGTCCTTACCATCTCTAATATGCTCAAACATATTGTCATAGTTGGTTGTAGAATGCCCCATAGAGTTCCAGGTTGCTGATTCCCCCTTACAATTGCCTGCATTTAGGATTCTTGGCAGGCTAAAAGGATGACTTTGCCAATATAGTGTGGAAAAGACAGTCTTTAGAATCTCTGGCATTGTCACTTAGTTTCCCAACCCACACTCTATTCTTCCATATGTGTTGTTATTGTTGTTGTTATTTGCTGTCAAGTACAATTCATACCGATCTTATGATGAACAAGAGCTCTGAACCCTGTCCTACCCTGTGTCATCCTCACAATCTCTGACATTCTTGAGCCCACTGCTGTAGTCACAATGTCAATCCATCTGGTTGAGAGACTTCCTCTCTTGTGCCATCCCTCTTCCTTGCAACAATGATGTCCTTCTCCAAGGTATAGCCTCTCCTAACAACATGCCCAAAGTATTTGAGATGAAACTTTGTCATATTTGCCTCCAAGGGGCACTCTGGTTGCACCTTTTCTAAGACATATCTGTTTGTTCTTTTGGTAGTCCATGGGGTATTTATTACCCTTCTCTAACATCACAGCTCAAAGGCATCAGTTCTTCTTCTGTCATTCTTATTCATTGTCCAGCTCTTGGCAACATAGCAAGTAATTGAAAAGACTATAGCCTGAGGACTTAGCCTTTACTAATATATCTGTTAAGATATATTAATATAAAAAAAATAATTTCATTTCAATCATTTAAAGTACCACATTATTGAAAAGCCAAACAGACTCCATTTAAAAATTTTCTTCTTTGCTCCAAGCCTCAGAGTTGTGTCTTGAACTGTTTCCCAGAACAGTAACTGCTATTGTCTATTATGGTTTGCACTCCTTGTAAATGTTTCAACTGCAAACTGATGTCATGTGTCTCTGTGCCTTTGAAATTTCTCAACAGCAAAATGCTATGCCTGTATTTCTGTGCCCTTGAAGTGTTTTTAACAGTAAAAGGCTGTAGTTAGTAGCCCTACCCCTGGAGTGAGAAAAGTATAAAAAGCCTCTTAGCAAGAACCTCGTTGCTGGGACTCTTCCATTGTGCAGCGAATTAAGGACTTTACCTGTAATTCTGCAGTGTATGTCTCTTAATTCATTGGACACAGCATTTTGGAGGCCCCAGCCAGATCAGAAGACACACGGAGAGCCCTTCTGTGACTCCCAGGCAGCAGACATGCTACATCCTTCTCAGAGGGTTCTTGGCCTGATGATGTTCCAGGGCCTCAGGAAGGGGCAGGAGACCATCTCGTTAGCCTGAGAGACTCCAAATGGACCTGAGGTCCTTCTGAAAAATAAAAAAGACTCTCAAGAGGTAAGAATTCACATTCATTCTGGTTCTGGTCTATTTCTCCTTGAAGTTGGGGAAGACATTGATGTGACCCAGACTCCCCTCAGAGGAGCCTGATAAAGCAAGACCCTGTCGTCTGAAAAGCCAGCTGTCTATCTTTCTGTGTGTCCGTGCTCCCCAGAGAGAATCCTGATAGAGCAGGATCTTCTAGCTAGGGAAGCAGGATTTGTCTGTCTCTGTGTGGTGTCACTTCCCCTCCACCCTCCAGAGGATTCTGATAGAGCGAGATCTTCAGGGTTAGGAGGGCCAGCTGGGAGAGCCTACAACGATGTGTGTCTTTCTCTATGTCCGTTAAGTGCCTATTTTTCGGGCCAAAAGTGTCTTTTCAGGCCCCGTTTCACCTGAGGCCCTCAGCTGCCGCTGCCCTGGCTCAGTGCACACTCTCCCTCCTCCTGTTTGTTTCCCCTTTCTCAGAAAAATGTGTGGTTTGTTTAGTCTCTCTGTCGTTGACTTTTGTAGCCTATCTTCCTTCATCCAGCTCACTGGTCAGAAGTACTGGGGAGTTAAAGCTCGCACTCATTCTCCAGCGCACAGAGAGCGCTTGTGGCCTCTTCCTTCATCCGCTAGCCCCTCTCCCTCTCAGGAAGCTTCATTTCTTGGTCTGGGGCCCTTTGAGTCTCCTTTTTTCTGACTCACTATGACCCGATTCTTGCTGCCTTGGGGTCTTCCCGCTCCATCGGACCTTCAGTGATGCCCTGAGGACTCATCCCTCCCTCCCTCATTCTCCTCTTCTTCTTGTTGTTGATTGCCTTTGAATTGAGCATGACTCATGGTGACCCTATGAACAAAAGGCCTGAAGCCCCTCTACAACTATCGACATTTGTCAAAGTTCATAGAGTTTCTGGAGGCATGTTATTTAGGAAGTGGATGCCACTCCTCTTTTTCTCCTCTGTCTGTCTCCTCCCATCTCTGAAACTGCCTGGCACCTGTCTGGGCCTGTTACCTGTCTTCCTCCCCTTCTGTGTCATTGGGACATCCTAAGCCCTCTTTATTTACTGTACTTTGTGCCCCCTTCTTTCTGCTACTCTCATTAAAAGGGGTCTTCTGGGC